TCAGCTGTCTAGGAAAGGACACCGACTGATTGGAAGCGTTTTCCCACCAAGTCTGCACATCGGCCTGCAGGCCATCGCCGAGGGGGTCGTCCCACTGGCTGCCAGCGGCATCTCGCCAAGTGCGCTGGAAAAGTATCTTTCCCCAGATCAGCCAGGGTGTAAGCAGTCCCAGTGGGTCAAAGGTTTTGGCCACGGCCGATAGCAGTTCTCTCCTTGTTGAGGGACAGGGGAACTCTGGAACCCGTACTGCAAGCTTGTCGGATTTCGTGTCCCAGATCAAGCCAAGAACTGATGCCTCGGGAGCCTCATCTCCAGTGACTCGCACCTTGTGGAGAACCATGTTGGCCTCAGAGAAAATATTCTGAGTTCGAGAGATGCCCTGCTCAGCCGCCTGTCGGCTCTCAAAAGGAAGGCAAAGATCGTCCATGTAGCTGCCGGCCTGAAGCAAGGTACAAAGCTGCCCGTCAGAGTCAGTGTACTTGCTCAGGTGCACGTTTATGGTCCTCAGCAGCATGAACGGCGAGCACGCCAGACCGAAAGGGGCACGAGCAAATCTCAGCCGCATTCCCCGCCAGAAGAACTGGAGGTACTGTCGATCTTGGGCGCTCACAGATACCTGATGAAAGGCGGCCTTGATATCAGCCTGGCAGCCGACCTTTCCAGAGCGAAAGTTGAGAACGACAGAAGGGAGCTTTGCCAAAAGATTATCTCCCGCATCCAGGTAGTCATTGAGACTCCGTCCGATGCCATCAGTCGCGGAACCGTCAAAGACAATGCGGAGCTTGTCCTTTCGAAAGATCCCGTGATGAGGGAGGTAGAACTCTCTGATCTGGGGGTCAGCGCACCCCAGAGTCGGGGCATCTGGCGGCTGGACAGGGCACTCCTGTTCACAGGGCTCAACCACAGAATCCTTCAGCATCTGCTGGATCTGCTCGTCATACTTGTCGGCCTTGCCGGGGCTTAACCGCTCAGTCATGCGACAGGTTCTCACCCATGTCGAGCTGCGATTGGATACCGGTCTCTCATCAGAAGTCCAGATCAGGGGCATCTCGTACCGTCTCTCACTCTCGCTCCATGTCGGCAGAGGGAAGGAGTTAGAGTCGATCAGCTCCGTATCTCGGATGCCAATGGAGTCGAGGTCCCACATGCACTGGACCTGCCGACTATGAAAGCACTGGCGTGAGCGCTGACCGCCCGGGTCTCTGCCGTAGCATCCGTGCAAGACGTAGCCGAAAATGGTCTCAATGGCTCTCAGCCCATCAGCCAGCTCCCTCTGGTCCCACAGGACAACCTGATACATGTTATCAGTTCCTATGAGTATGTCCACTTTCCCACCCTGGAAATCATCAGCCATCCGGATCTCGGAAGGCACCAGAGGCGGTTTAGCAGACGGGAGCGGCGAGCACAGCAAGTCTGTGCTCCACATATCCAGTGTGACGGACGAGCCACCGAAACGGCTCTCGAGTTTGACCTGGACCTGGTCGTAGGTGCGGGGATGCTCGGCCTTCTCCTGGAACCCGAGGCAGGCAAAGGTACCGGAGCCTGTCACAGGAAGTCCCAATTCTTGCGCCAGAGAGCGCCTGATATAGGAGGCGTCCGATCCTCCATCAATGAGAACACGAGCCGCTGTCTGCTGGCCGTGGGGACCTGTAGCCATGACAACAGCAGTCTGGAGAAAGCTCCCATCAGTGGAACTCACATTGTACCGGTGGTGGCTGGGCGGCTGAACCTTGTGCGTCTGAGTGACCGCACCAGAGCCCGAAGCCGAAGCCGGGTTTCCAGGAGGCGAGAACGGTTCAGCGCCTGGACGCAGCTCAGAGCCGGCAGACGCCGAGCGCGGTGACACAAACTCTGCGTTGTGTAGCAGCGAATGGTGCGGGCGGCCACACTCAGCGCACAGACTGCCTTGACACCGCCTGGCCAAGTGACCAGTGTCCAGACATCTGAAGCAGGCTCTCCTGGATTTGGCAATCTTCCAGCGATCGCCTACGGCCATTTTCAGAAAGCTCGGGCAGTGGTCGAGCCTACGGTGACCTTGCCCGCATGGACACTGGAACACCCTCTGTGGGTTACGTGAGCTGGTTTTGTGGGTCTCACGCTGGGCATTTAAACTGGTGGTCACCGAGAGGGTCGCCGGTGGATCAACAGACGGTCGATGGTGCACTGCACCCTTGGCGGACTCTCTGATGCGAATTTCGTTGTTTAGAAAAGTGAGAAAATCTTCAAATCTGTCAGTCACTCGCCGGGCCCACTCCAGGCGCCAGTCTTCAGGAATCTTTTCCTTTGCCATGGGCAGCAGCAGGCTGGACAGACTCTCAGAGGATACTCCGAGAGTGCAGAGAGCTCTTGTATGAGCGGACAAGTGATCGATGAACGATCGCATGGCTTTCAAGTCGCCCTGGCGAACTGAGGGCATGTTGAGCAGCTCCCTCAGGAGAGTCTCTCTCCGCACATCCTCGAGCTCGAATCGCTCCTTGAGAGCCGACACCGCCTGCACGTACCCGTCACCCGTGACTGGGATGCCCTGGATGGCCCTCAGTGCCGCTCCGGCAAGATGAGACTTTAAGACCACGAATTTCTGCACGTTGGCATAGCACTGGTTGTTGTGTACAGAAATAGAAAAGAGTTCCCAAAACTCAGGCCATTTCATCACCTCACCGTTGAAAGTGGGAATTTTTACGGAGAGGGATGTTTTCAAATCGGCGCTACCAGCTGTGTTCAGTGACTCAGAGGCCCTGGATTGAGCTTCTTCAGCTCTCTCGAGGCGAGCCAGGAGGCGAGAACCGAGGAAGGCCTCATCCTCCAGAGTCTGGACATGATTCGTCTCGTCGGCTTGACCCTGTTTGTCCAGCTGGACCTGCAAGCCCTGCAACTCAGTTTGGATCTTCTCCACATGGTGGAGTTTTAGGGCAAGTTGGTCCGGGTCTAGCGCTTTCCGATCTCCCTCCCTGTAGGCTCGGAGATCGTTGCACGCTTTAGTAGCCTTTGTGCGCAGACGCGACCTAGCAGCCAGTAGCTCCTCCATGTTTGAGTGAAATGGGAACTAAATCAAAGTACAAAGTGGACTGTATGTTCAAAAACAAACTATCAATTTACCCAGTGGACTTAACAAAATTTAACAAAATTTAATACCGGTAGCCTTGGGGACTGTGTCCTCCACTGAATAAATGATCCGGCCCCGGTGGACTATGTTGCGATTCCAAGTTAACCCTCGCCCGCACATGCCATTTTCCCATCCTAGAACGCACATGGGGGGGGGGGGGTGGTTGCCACCCCCCCGCGCCATTTCGTTCCTGTTGGAGATAGAGCTTAGCAGTAAAGACCAAAAAGATTCTTTGGGAAGAGACGAATCCAATGATACCCAGTTTTACCTTCTCAGGTCAGTCATTGACCTTCCAGGTCAGGTCAAACTAAAAAATGTTGCTGTTTTGGGTCACCGTTGGATATCAAGTGCGCTGCTTATCAAATACCGACGACGATGCTGTTTTCTGGTGCCAAGCCAGCTAGAACCTCTTTGTCACACTATCCGACCAGAATTTTGCTGCTGAGGTCATTTCAGGTCAAGTTAGGTCAAGGTCAATTATATGTGTTTGTATGTCTGTGTGTGTCTGTGTGTATACTGATGTGTGCACCGATTGTTTTTGGGTCCATATCACATGAAATCATGATCTGAGAAGCTTTTACCAAAAATGCAGTCAAAAAACTTCACAAAAAGTAAATTCAGCTTGCCTAAAACGCAATTATCTTAGATGACCTAGGTTGACCTTGACCCTGACCTTGACCCCTGTACATCGTCGAACAACATGTTCCATGATAGGTGGGAGGTAAGACTGGCAAAAAAGGCCGAAATCAGGGTGTCAAAAGCTCACAAGGCCCATGGCAAACGCAAGATGTTGAGAATTGGCCATTTGGGTCATGACATGACCTGAAAAACAAGGTCATATCTCCGAAACCAAAAATCACAGAAACTTGAAATTTTCAGTGGACATCAAGAAAGGATAGACGAGCAGCTATACGAAAAATCAGCCTTCTAGCTCTAAAAATGTTGAGTGCAGAGCAGAAAGACTGCCTGGGGGGGGGGTGGCAACCACCCCCCCCCCCCCATGTGCGGGCGAGGGTTAAAGAAGGTATGAATACACCAGGCGGATGTATTTTTTGTCAACAAACCCAGATAAACAAGATGACCACTTGCCAAAAACACCGGCTATTGAGGGACTCTATATAAACAGCGACCAATCGCAACTGGCGTAAATATATACTAGTGAATCTCGAGAGACGCTCGAGGAACCCCAAGAAAATACCGCCCTTGAATAGGCTGACAGCCGTGTGGAATAGCGACCTTTCCAAGGCACGCTCAAATGTTATGAACAGCTCCGTGAATATGCTCGCCGAACAGGCCGCTCAGACTAGTAAGGCTTACATATTCACGGCGCTGTGATATCGGTGGTTGGGGCCAAAAAGCGAATGAGGAACGAGCCGGACAGACTCAGTCCCAGATTTAGATCCTCGAATGTATATGCGTCGCCGAGTAAGCCGACAGCAAGCCTCTCAGACGAGTCTGCCGACGTCCCCAGCAAACGCATATAACATTCGAGGTCCCAACGCACCAGCCGCGACAACAGACATTGCCCGACTGCCCTCCGCCGGCGCGCCCTCACCCGACCTCACCTCACAATCACGTGGTCAGCAGCCGACCAATCACTGCACGAGTCCGCGCCGCACAGCCCCGCTCCGGCGAGAGATGCTGTGCCGCAATACAGCGGCCGCGCGTCGGCCGAGGAGAAATACGGGCGGCCGAGCCGACACAAGCGGGCGAAAAGACAACTAAATTGACAGTTCTAACACGCATCGAGGCAATGTCTGGTAGGGAATCTAAACATAATAGACATTCTGATACCGGCCATCTACCTACTGCACAGACTTGTCACCATGTCTGCCAGAGTTATATAATTCCTGCCTTCCACATCTACTGACATCTCTTCGTCCCTGGACCCCCGCAGGTGTGACAGCCGAGGTTGCCCAGTACGGCGCCACGTGGCTCCTCACCTCCGTCGGCAGCATCGTGGCCGGCCCCATAGTCGCCTTCATCTTCATCCCAGTACTCAACAGGCTACAGGTCGGCAGCGTACACGAGGTGAGCTCCGCTCTTCCGTGCACTGGTTCATAAAGCCATTAAATTAAGTTCGCAGTTAAATCCCCCGCCTGACCGAGGTTCCAATATTCGACATCAGAACAAAGGCACCATGTCTTTGGAAGCGACGTTTGTGTGTTTATCTTTTAGATATTGGTATCGATCCATACGTAAGACTTTCAGGACATGTTATAAATAATACCTGAAGTTAATTTCAGGACTCAGAAGCAAGCCAGTCCTGCCACACTACAGGGTCACATTACCACGCTTCACATTCTCAGCTGACACTTTCTCCCACCCTCAGTACTTGTGCCTGCGGTACGGCGACCGTCTCAGCCCCGCGGTCGGCTCGGTCGCGGCCCTGCTACAGACGGTGGTACACGTCTCGGTACTCCTCCAGGCGGCCACCATCGTCACCTCAGCCATCACCGGCCTGACCCGCACTCCGGCGCTGCTCATCTCGGCAGCCATCGGCATCACGTACGCTGCTATGGTGAGATGTGCTCTGAACGGGGAGGGTGAAAACTAGAGACGGGAGGTCGCACATTATATGCTAAATGTTCACGTTGATATTGTATACCCGAATGCTGACGGCGGGAGCTGCTAACATGACATAGATGGTAACGGTTTGATAAAGGAAGAAAAACATTACCGATCATGAAGATCAACTGAATGTCTTGCATGGCCATCGCAGGCCTTTATAATCTGTGAAACCACTGTGTAATTTGCATTTCGTTTCTGTCTAGGCTGTGCCCGAGGACAGACTGTTTGCGGACAGCATCCACTTTGCTGTGACGTTTATCGGACTGGCAGCGGTGTCGATACAGGGCGCCGTCAGCGTCGGCGGACTCAAGAACCTGCTGAACATCAGCGGACACCAGGGAAGGCTGGACGTCCTGCGGTAAGGTCGTCAGATATTTTGATTTTTTAACCAAACGGCAGGTAGGAGGGTTTTAGATAACTAAATGAGGTCTATTATGGTCGTCTAGCACGGTTACATTAACCCGGCACCGCCTGGGCTATTTCCGTACCCACGACAGCCGGGGGGGGGTCGGATCCAACCCCCCCCCCTGTTATCTCGAGAACCAATGGTCGTATCGAGCCCCGCGAGGCGGGGTTCGAAAGGTCTCTACGAGACCTTCCCAAAACACTCTTAAGATTTCAAGATTGAGGTCAACTTTCTGGTCAAGATCAGGTCAAAGGTAAAATTCTGGGGTTTTGCATGATTAGGCTTACGGACAGCGGAATCGATAGCTGCTGCTCGAAACTCACCAAAAACGACCTCAAATATCTAGCGAAGGTACCATGTGCGTATAGGGGTCATACTAAGTACGGGTCAAGGTCAGGTCAGGTCACGAAAGGTCACGGTTTTCACTTTCTGCTACATGGGCGTGAGACACATGATTTATGGCTTATTTTTCACGGCGAATCCGATGATAATGGTTATATGTGACCCCAAGTCAATGTGCTGGTGATAAGTGTGCATTGAAAGCATAAAAATCGTTTATACCATACATAACTAAACAAGGGCTAAGAAAAAAGTCAATTTTTCAACTTTTTATTTTTGACATAAAAATGCACTTTTCTAGACAAGCTTTGTCCCAGGAATCTAGTGGTGCCATTTGTTTTACATGCGATGTTCAGAAGTGCCTCTAATTCACGAAAATGCTTATGACGTCACCATGCCCTATGCATGTTGGAGCTATTTTTTACAATTTGAGGGTCAAAAATCAAGAAAGGAAGTTGAAATTTGGGACATCTAATATTCTAATAGAGCTCTATAACATCTATTCCGTTTTTTTTAATTCTCAAAATTTTGGATTTTATCAGCTGTTTTTAAAAAAAATATAGTTTTTTGAATTTCTAGGGGTGAAAAAAGCCTTTTTTGGAAAATCCGAGATAGCCATTTTAGAGAACTCGTTGAGCTGCGTCTATTCATGTCCTTAATTTGCAATTTGCTTTAAACCTTGATTTTGGCGATTTTTTAAACATTTACCACTTTTTGATTGAAAACGCACGCCATGTAGTTACATTACCAAAATCAATATATCTCAAAAAGTTTTATATAAATTTTCTTAAAAATTACACAGGAGACGTCAAATTGATGGAGGAGAAGGTATGCTAGGTTTCAAGTTGATAGCGTAAGCGGTTCATGAGTTATTCAAGAAAAACGGAGGGGGTCGGATCCGACCCCCCCCCAGGCGGTCGCGGGTTAAGGCGGATAACTGCTATCAGTTTTAACGGTTGGGGTTGTAACCGTGGAGTGTAACTTGATTGTCCGTACTTATCACGTTGAAATGACGCAATTGAGGTGCACAATGTCGTCATGTCCTTCAATCAGGGTTCAATCTTTGACTCGAGTTCTCGCGTTTCCAGCTTCTCCTTCAACCCGTTCGAGCGGTACAACGTGCTGAACGTGTTGGTCGGTGGCACGATGATGTGGACGCACTGGTTCGTGGTGAACCCGGAGATGCTGCAGCAGTACTCCAGTCTGAGGACCGTGCAGAGGACTAGGACGTGAGTGGCACATCCGGTCGAATGACAGTGCAGTATAACATGATTTTTCTGCGACTTCCGAGATAGACTGCAGTGAGCAGAAACTGCCAACTCTTCAAAGCTGATGAAGAAACGGTAGTGCCTATGAAGTTGTCAGTAAGCTCGGCGCTGTTTTCAACAAAACGCTATCGGTCAGAAGCTCATTGGCAACAATTGATTAAGCATCGCTTGTAATCCCCGTCCAAGTCTTGTTGGGACATCCCGGCTCAAGGATGACCCTGAAGCATTCATTCGCCGTGCATCCAGTGATTGCATTCTCGATGGACAGGTCCCTAACCGAAGCTCGTGCACCCTCTCGCTTTGTAAGTCCACGCTTCTCGCTATGATACTCGGCCGTTCACCTCTCGCTGTGACAGCCCGCTGACCGCCCCGCTCTGCTGCCGGCAGCACGCTGCTGGTTTCCGTGTCGCTGATGCTGGGCATGACGGCGCTGTGCGTGCTGGCCGCGCTGGCGCTGCTGGCCAGCTGGGCCGGCTGCTGGCCGGCCGACTGGCCGGCCGACGGGCTGCTGCTGCGCTGGGCCGGCCGCCGGCTGAGCTACCTGCCCGGGCTGGCCGGCCTGCTGCTGGCCGCGCTGCTGGGCGGCGCGCTGGCCGCTGGTCCCACCCAGCTGGCCGCGCAGGCTGCTGTCATCTGGGACCAGCTGGCGTCGGACCGGGTGCGCCACGAGTGGCGACACCGCGCCGTCCGGCTCATCAGTGAGTTGGCTGACCGTACACCCCGCCCCGCGCCGGTTGGGAACGTGATTATTGTTCATGCATATGTGTGAAAGATGTACGACACCACAAGCCCAGTTCACCTTGCTCATGGAGTTTCCATGGCGTATGACTTATGAGAATGTCGGGCTCCAAAGTTTTGGTAAAACTCCGTAACCCCAAAGGCGCATTTTTTATGATAGCATATACGAGAGCAGTTTTCCAGCATATGTCAGTGAACATGACCCCAGATGAGGTCAGTTTCTGGCGCACGACTACATCGATCGACCTACGATCCCTCTTCAGATATTCAGTGCAACACGATCAGAACATCCATAAGCACATTTAAGCATCCGTCTGTAAGCAGTCGGATGACCGGCCATTGAGGCGAATGGCAGTAAAATCTAAACAGCATCTCGCAAAACGTCGACGAGCAGCGTCAGATATCCAACATGACATGTAATGCCATAGACATATATATTGCCGAGGACATGCGCGGATAGGGCAGCTGTGGGGTGTCACTTAGCCCTTATGTAAGACTCCCCTTGCGAACAGTGTTGTATAAACGATTTATGTTAACGCTCATTAACGTAAACAATTATAGCTCAGATTTCAATATTCTATTGTTCATAATTCAAGGTCACCGTTGGGTGTTTTAGCGAAATGCACGCAGGACGACGAACAATGTTCTCGAACCAACATGCAAGTCTGGCCTCCCGAGTCCTGACTCGAACTGCCTCCTCATCCTACTACTGCCAAGGATCTCCAATGGACACCATCTAACCCCCTACCCGTGTTCTCCCCACCAGCCGTGCTGCTGGGGATCGGCGCCCTGTGTCTGGTAGCTAGCTCTCTAGCAGACGTCATCTAACCCTAGCTGCGCCCCCCCCCCTCTTCCCACCAGCCGTGCTACTCGGGATCGGCGCACTGTGTCTGGCTGCCGTCACGGGCGCCCAGGGGGGCCTCCTGCAGACCTGGGTGGCCGTCTACGGCGCAGCGGCCGGGCCCGTCCTCGGCCTGTTCATCCTCGGCATGCTGGTGCCCTTCTCCAGCGCTCAGGTTGGTATTGTGCGCACTATCAGGTCACTGAAATACGATATATTGAGATAACGGGCGTGTTTTAGTCACTTCCTGTGCCGTTCGTGGTTCGAATATCGAGCGCATGGCTCTGGTGTCGCCTTCAATCTATCTCGGGCGTGCGCCTGTCGCCCTTCACGCTCATGAATACCTGAATGACTGGTTAATGGTTGTTGGTTTTGACCTGCCTTCCATAACTAGTTCAGTCCTAATCTGAACTCCTAGACGGAGTTGTTGCAATGCACCCGATGTTTGTCTAGCAATGATGTCTGAACATGAACATGCCTGATGTTTGATCAGTGTCTGTGAACTGCACACCAAGGCGTCTTTCGTCTACAGTTTCCTGTTGCTTATCACGCTGTGAGTCTGTGACTCACATGCTTCTTTGCCAGGGCACTTGACACTTCCATTATGAATGAATTTGCATTCATTTCACCCTCATGGCGACGTGCCTGGAGGCGTCAACAGTTACCAGACGAAACTCGGTGCCATTTCTCCGTACATGACGCGCCGTGTATCTCCAGGGCGCCGTGACCGGCTACCTGTTCGGTCTGATCCTCGCGCTGTGGACGGCCGTCGGCTCCCTGTTCACCGTACCCGACGCCGAGCTGCTGTCGGTACCCACCAACGACAGCAGCTGCCTCGGACCGACGAACGTCACCAGCGGGGCCTACAGAACCTACATACAGCTGGCCGCTGCGGCCGACAGCACCGCGAACGGCACCGGCTACAACATCAGCAGCGGGGCTGAGACCGGAGCACATCGTCCGACCGACTACATCGGTCACAGGTGGGCCTGCATGGGACGCTGGGAACCGTGCTAAGATGGGGGAGGGGGCTGAATGAACAAGAAACTACGACCTCGGGCATGATTCGAATTTCGAACTCGACCCCACGACACGATAAAGTAGACGCATCGTTCTGAATTACCTTATAATCAACATTTTACCGTTCATTTCAGCGCAAATATGTGCAAGTGTAACGGCGCACAGGACGAGCCTCCCAATGCTATATCGTAACCAAAACTGACCGGCCACATTGCGTTGCAGGTCGCCGCTGGACAGCTGGTACTCGCTGTCATTCCTGCTTATCAGCCTGCTGGCCACGGTCGTCACCGTTCTGGTTGGCATCTGTACCTCCCTGCTGCCAGGTGAGCCAGAAGTGACTTCCGAACGACGAATCTGGTTTACATAACGTGTATTGCCCGTAGCGATCGACAGAGCTTGGGTATTCCTTTAGTAGCATTTTACAGGAAACCGCGGACGCCATTTTCTCAAGACTTGCAACGCAATAGGCACCATTGCATTGCTGACCTTACATAAAAAATGTCCGATTTCATAACTAATAGTATGGGCATACCGACTCTCAGGGCGTTGAAGAGTTAATACAGCCGCACCTGGATCAAGTTAGCGCCCACAGAACACCTTTCTCCAGAAACTGACATTCATGCTGGCTACATTACGCCTGCACCGTATGTTGCAGGATGTCGGCGCACGTCTCATCTGCGCCAGGACACCATCAGCCCGCTGGTCACTCGGTTCGTCTCGAAAAGTAAGATGGCGTCCTACACAGATCAGGGGCTGCTGAATCAACCCCAGGAAACGGCCATCGCCGCCAACATCGAGATGAACAACATGAAAACGCCCGCCATCCAACAGGTTTACGAGGATCCGAACCCGCCGGCAGGGCCGTCGGAGGTGGGTGCTGTTCAGGAGATTTATGAAGACCCTAACCCTCCAGCAGTAGCAGCAGAGATTGACGACGTTCAACAAGTCTACGAAGATCCCAATCCGCCAGTGGGTCATCTGGAGCAGCACAAAACCGACGAAACAATTGCCACGTCATCAGTGTAGCGAAACGCTTTAGTTTCTTAGGCGTCCAATGTGGTATATGAAATGAGTTGTTATAAGAAACTTGAAGGAAGGTGCTTATATGACTATATGTACTTAGGTACTGAGGTAGATTTTTATCGTAAGCGCAGCGACATCTTTGTGTGTAATGTGCGGTACCGACAAGATCCATGTATTTTGTCCAGACATGCCATTGTCCATTTATTGTCCATGAAAACGTATGTGCATTTATGCATTTTATCGTGCATCGTAGGGCATCAAGAGGTATAGGGTATCATCATGTAGGTGTGGTGTTCACGCCCGGCGCTACATTTACCTACGCAATACATTACGCCTATCCTATAAGTTCATTTATGAATTGAGTAGGTAACGAATGCCGAATGGGCATGCTTTATGTCAACTGTGACTTGTGTTGTAGGTACAATACACAATAAACATGCCTATATAGTGCAAGTGAAAACGTATTTCTGTGTCTGCAACCACAAAGGCATGCATAATGCATGCATAATGCATATTTATGCTGACTCATCCAGTTTCCCACTCCCATAGTAAAGCTCGGCGAAAACAATGCACTTTTTGCAGGGCCTCCCAAGACAAGGGAGGGGGGGGGGGTTGAGAAGCGGCGTAATTATATCGATGTCCAGTCCGCGTCAGCTGGCACCGCGAGGACAGTGTGGAGGCTAGGGGGCTCATTTCGCTACTATTTTTATTTACCTACTCATATATGCAACACGGCGTTTTTAGGCCAGACTTAGGTATATACGCCAAATTTTCCAACCGTCACTTGCAGGGGCGGTCGCAGACTTGGCGTTTGGGGGGGGGCAACTTGGCTAAGGGGCCCCTGCACTGACCCGGGGGTCCCGGTGCTAGCTTAACCCTATTCCTGGCGGGCTCCGCCGGGACAAGAAACTGGCGGGGGGGGCCGATTCGGCCCCCCCCTGAGATCTCGAGAACGAAGCAAGATAGCGACAAACGGTAAACGGCATCGGATACGCACGGTCAAGATCTACAATTTTTACTAAGGTCATTTTCAGGTCAGGTCAAAGATGACGTCACAGGGGTCGAAAAAGTCAAAATGGCGGCGCTAGATATGGAGAGAGTTTTTCTCGAATAACTTTCGAATTAGTCAAGATAGGAACAAACTAAGGGCATCATCGTGATCCTCTCGTCAATCCGCATCGAATGATATATATGTTGACCTCGCAAGGTCAAGGTCAAAGGTTGACCTCAGGTCACGTGACCTCGAGGTCATCATGTATATCATTCGATGCGTCTTGACGAGCTGAACACAATGAGACCATCCACGCGTCTGTATCTTGTTCCTGTACGGAGTTATTGGCCAAAAACCTTTGGTGACCTTTGATGACGTCACATGACCTCACAGCTGCCCAACAGCAAAACAGACCTCAAGGTAGTGAAGGTTGATCGTATATGAAGTCATGTATGGTATATGGGGCCATTCCGACCCGTTTTAGTGGTAAAAACAGGGACTTGATTTTTCCCCCATTGACATATAATGGGGAGGTCGCGAAACTGACCTGACCTTAGGTCACCGATATCAAAATTCAGAGATATACAAATTGCACATACTGGTACCCTAACTAAAGCCTGAAGAGAAGAAATTGATCGGTCAAAAACTCTAGCTCTGGCGTGATTGCAAACTTTTCTGAGGTAGGGTCACCAAACCGCCTCTGGTGACCTGACCTGAGGTCAGATCAACTCAAAATTTTCAGACATGTTGCGTAGAAGCCTTTTAGGAAAAGTCAGAAAATTTGAGCATCCTAGCTCAACGCGTTTGGGAGAAATAACCAAAAAACCTCAGGGGGGGGGGCTCCTGAGGCCCCCCCGCCAGGAACAGGGCCCACGGGCGTAGTGCATGGGTGCAGAAATCCAGCCATGGCCGGTGAAGCGGGGGGGGGGGGGGTAGGGAGCGGCACCCGAGCGGAGGCTCATTGCCAGCTTTGAGGGTGTACCATGTCGAAAAGGTAAGTTCATATTGAAGCATTGGTAATGTCAATAATTCACGCAACTGTGAATTGACTACCGCAAAAAGTAAAACCGGCTAACTTCGCCATTTTCGAAGATACCGTGCGAAAACTTTTGACAGTGGGTCATCGGTATGTGTTCAATTACATGTGTTTCGTTTCTTATTTTTACTCGAGCACAAATGTAAGTTTTGAAGACCATCACAGTAGCAAATGCATCGAAAGATGGATAGTAGTGGGCAAAATATCCTGAATTTGTCGTGCTGCATCGAAAGTAGTGTTGATGAGAAAAGGGGTTTTTATTCCAGATTATTGTGGGTGCACAATACATTGTCTGCACCCACTGGATAATTATTGTTGGTGCAACTGCACCCACTGCACCCATGGTTCCTACACTTATAGGTCCATGGATAACGCTTCGGCGATACCTATCGCATAGAGGCTGCAATGTGGCCATGTGGAGTACCTATAGTGTCAGACCCCCAGAGGCCGGCGTTGGACCCAAGGGTCAGCGAAGGGCCTCAAAGGCACCAGATGGGGCCCCAGAGGCTGATGTGGGCCCTCAAGTGCGTGACGCCCAAAGGTAAGTCTTGGGCCCCATAGAACATAATAGGGCCATCAGTGGCCGGTGTAGAGACCTCATAGGCCAGTTAAGGGCATATAGAGGCCAGTTTGGGGCACCTCAGATGTCGGTGTGAGGCCCTTAAAGACCGGTATGGGTCCTCAGAAGCCGGCATCGTTCCTTCAGAAGCCAGTACGGGGCCCTCAGAGGCACATAAGGGTCAGTTTGGGTCCCAGAGACAGAAATGGGACCATCAGAGGCCGGTGTGGAACCTTAAGAGGCCGGTTTGGGCCCTTAGAGGCCAGTTTAGGGCCCTCAGAGACCAGTACAGGGCCTGCAAAGGGCAGTTTGAGACCATCAGAGACCGACTTGGGCACTCAGATGCTAATGTGGGTCCTTACAGGCCAGCATGGGCCCTCAGAGGTTAGCGTGGGGTCGTAAAAGACCGACATGGGTCGGCGTTGGACCCCAGAGGCCAGCCTCAAAGGCCAAAGATGGGCCCTCAAAGGTGATGCGGGCCCTAAGAGGCCAGCATCGGGTGTTCCGAATCCAGTGCGGGGCCCTCAGAGGCTAATGTGCGCCCTTACAGCCCAGCATGGGGCCCTCAGAGGTCAGAATGAGGCCCTGAAAGACTGGCATGGGCCGGCGTTGAACCCCAGAGGCCAGCAGAGGGCCCTCAAAGGCCAAGATTGGCCCTCAGAGGCCGATGCGGGCCCTTAGAGGCCGGCATCGGGTCTTCAAAATCCAGTGCGGGGCCCATAGAGGCTAATATGTGTCCTTACAAGCCAGCATAGGGCCCTCAGAGGTCAGTGTGGGGCCCTAAAAGACCGGCATGGGCTGGCGTTGGACCCCAGAGGCCAGCGGAGGGCCCTTAAAGGGCAAGATGGGCCCTCAGAGGCCGGCATCGGGTCTTCAAAATCCAGTGCGGGGCCCATAGAGGCTAATATGTGTCCTTACAAGCCAGCATAGTGCCCTCAGAGGTCCGTGTCGGGCCCTGAAAGACCGGCATGGGCTGGCGTTGGACCCCAGAGGCCAGCGGAGGGCCCTTAAAGGCCAAGATGGGCCCTCAGAGGCCGATGCGGGCCCTTGGAGGCTGGCATTGGGTCTTCAGAATCCAGTGCGGGGGGCCTCAGAGGCTAATGTGGGTCCTTACAGGCTAGCATGGGGCCCTTCGAGGTCAGTGTGGGGCCCTAAAAGACCGGCATAGGCCGGCGTTGGACCCCAGAGACCAGCGGAGGGCCCTCAAAGACCAAGAGGGGCCCTAAGAGGTCGATCCGGGCTCTTTGTGGCCGACATCGGGTCTTCAGAATCCGGTGCGGGCCCTCAGAGGCAATTAAAGTCTAGTCTTGAGACAGAAATGAGGCCACCAGAGCCTGTGTGAGGCCCTCAGCCGCCGGTTGGGCCCCTGAGACCGGTTTAGGGGCCCTCAAAGGCCAGTGGAGGGCCCTCAGAGGTCAACGTGGGTCCTCAGCAGTCAACCTGGGCGCTTGACCGCCACTGAAGGGCCCTCAGAGGTCAGTGTAGAACCCTCAAAGACCGGTATGGGAGCTGTTAATAGCTGGCGTGGGTTTCTCGAGCCTCGTGACAATCGAATACGGGCCAGGGTCCCATACGCCCAGGGGGCCCATCGGTTGTTTGGGGGGGGGGGGCAAATGATATGATGGCCCCCCCTGATTTGCCTTGGGGGGGGGGCCATGGCCCTGATGCCCCCCCCCCTGCGACCGCCACTGGTCACTTGACGCAAAAAAAAATCAATTGATCTTTGAGGGATCAAGGGTTGAGGCCGAGGGGATCTTTGGCGGCGTCGGAAACGGATTAAAACGGAAAATTACGGGGAAATGAATACAACGTCGATTTTGACGAATGTTACTCGTTGATCCTGAGTCAAATCTGAGCAGTGAGCACACTAAGCAAAAATGACGAAAGAACAGCATTTTACAAATGGGCGCTGTCATGGTAGCTCTATTCGTTCCCGAAATAGCTATGCACCAATTCCCGTAAAAACGTAAACATAGGCGAAATTTGGCCTTGATCGATAAGATAAGAATGAACTGATCTCCAACCGACTTTTGACCTGACTTAAAAATGACCGAAGTTCTTTCATGATTTTGACGTTCTTTCGAACACCGCTTACCGCATGTCGCTACGTGGCCCGGATTAGACGCGGGTGGGGGGTCAAACATCGCTCCAGCTGGGCGTGGAAACCCAGGAGCCCCAGGCGGCTGCACCACTTCCGTTATTTTTGACGACCTGTCAAACGATGCTTAGACGTTTGTCCGCTTGTGAGTGACTCAAGATGCAGTGACCCAAACCCGGGAGAAGCCGAGGCGAGTGACCAAGTCAGGCTCATGCCGTGCTCGGCGTGCTCCAACTCTTGTCGAGTGTCGATGTCCATCGATGTCTTAGTTAGCACACATTTTACAGGATCGTGACTTGAATTGAAGCGGATCATATGATGTGATGTGATATGGGTTTATATGGCCTTGGTATGGGTTCAGCACGGTACATTATCCGGGAAGATATCTCGTAGGATGGATGGCGGGCCGGCAGGCAGCGCTTCCAGCTCTCTCGGATCAGGATGAGTCCTCGATACCGTCTTGAGTCCTCGAATGAATGGATGCCTCCTGACACTGCACAATCCAAAATCCAAATAACGACATGATCGCGTTCCACCTTATCGTAATAACCACAGGTAATAACCGATCGATAACCACCGCACACCACTGCTTGATAAGAATAACACACCCACCCCTCGCTCACCGAAACCACGTGGTCACCACTGAAATTGCTGAAATACCGCGGCCCTTCCGGTTCCGGCTTATTTTGATGCACGCTCAATGCACAATGACCTTGAACGCCGACCATCAACCCAAGATTCTTATAGATATCTTACCAATCAGCCTCCACTAACCAATCAGCGATGAGTGGATCGCGGAGCGATGTTCTTTGGTGTCTGGGAAGGCGGGATGCGGACGGATAACTACCGTGATCGGAAGGTGTGATGAGCGCGTTTTAGTCATTACCTATTCAGTATACCATTATTTTATATTATTGCACCTCCCGGCAGTATTCGTCAGGGCTGTGGAGTGAGTCGTAGACTGAGCTTGAGTCTGAATCGGTCGAAACCGATGGTCCTGACCGGAGGAGGAGTCGGAGTCGATTTTGGGAAGCCGGAGTCGGAGTCACCGAAAATCCATCGACTCCACAGACCTGCCAGGGCTGAGGAGTCGGGTCGGTCGTATTCGGCATTTCTGCCCCGGGTTGGAGTCCGAGTCGGTGTCGCCGAAAATCCATAGACAGCCCTGGTACTCGCAGTCAATAACGTAGCCAGGGAAGGCACGGAGGGCGGTGCTCTCAGGGGGCCTCAACGGCCCTCCGGCCTCCAGAGCTTGGACCCGTCGAGGCTTGAGGGCTAGGTCAGCTTCTGAGGTCCCATCCCCGTGACCGCTCCGGCTCCTGAGGGCCCCACAGCTTTTGGACTCCTGAGAGCCGCACGTTGGCCCTGAGGAGACCCGCTGAGCTCTCTAAATGGTCTCACAATGGCTTCTGCGGGCCCCAAGCCGGCCTCTAAAGGTCCTAGGCTAACAGACATCTCATGAGTGCTCTCACCATCCTCTAATGGCTCTCATTGGCCTCTGAGACTCATCAGTTTTTGGGGATCCTCATCGGCTTCAAAGTGCAAGTACCTCACCGACCTAGCTACGACGGTGATGCTTTCCCGAGTTGCAACATTGCAGAGCAAAACGATCTAGTGCTGTTAATCCTTCACGGAACGTGCTATCAACTTCGATCGGCCGATCTTCAGGTCAATGTAACAGCTGCAGAAGCCACACCGTTCCGTGCTTCTATCCTCAGGATACTGAAATCCTTCTCCTCCACGCCGCAACCCCCTTCCGGGCTGGACAGGCAACTTTATCTCATGCGGGCTGCTCCCTTGGAGCGGCACCGCTGCTCCCGAGGGAGCGCACCCCGTAGCCGGGTGCAGTGAGTGCCTTGGGGCTGGGCGGCCTGTCCTCTGGACGGGCTCAGCCCCGGCGACTCACTAGGGTGCCTGCCCAGACCAATGTCTCCCCCTAATTCCTACCATCCTTCCGGCTCTGCAATGGTCTTGTCAGACCGAAAGGGCCTAACCCAACAAAACAAAAAAAATGCAGAAGCCAGGCCAAAAATCGCGAATTTTCTCACTCTCGATAAAGGATAGAATAAAACAGGACCTGACCCAAGCAGGTGAAGCTTGAGTTGGCCCTAGAAAACCACACAACATGAAACGTGCCGGGACAGGACCATAGGGAGTACGATTCGCGCACCAGCGGTGGGCTCCCAATCTTGGGAGCCCGCCGCCCAATCTCCCAATCCCCACCGCAGAGCAGCAAGTCAGCTACAGAGTTAGCCATGGCCGTGTCAAGTGTAATGCCGGCTTAGTTCAATTTGCGCGTCCACAGCTTTCTAAACGATTCCCAATACACTTCACAGGCATAAATACTTCATCCAAAAATAGTGTACGAATATATTCACTCGTTAAATACAAGGCACGATAACAAGGTGAGCCAACCTTTTTGGCGAACGTTTGATGTAAAATACAAAATGTTTAACAAAGCACTGCAGTGCACAGTCACCCCATACAGATTAGCCATTTCGGAATCTTCGTCATTGGATGCCATTCTCGCTTAAATAACAAAAATATAAATCCCATAACACAGCATATTTGGACAACAGTGCCTTCCCAAACAAAATCAAGTCCCACACCGTGCGCACCTCTCGAATTCGGTCGATTCGTATCGAGCTGTCGATCAAACCTTCCTCACTACAACCAGTCACCAGCCAGCGCGTCGACTTCCGTCTCGAATAAATCTCGTTCGAATAAATATCAACCAAAACTCCCCGGCATTCCTCCTTCAATGTCCACGGGCTGCCAATCAACGCCTCCCAAGAACTGCCGACGGGGCTCTAGCGCTACCGACAATGCAGTCGTATCACTTGCTGAGACCGGTCCTTCAAAATCATCACTCCGGCTAACCGTCCCTCCTGGGCGTGATCTCACCGCACGTGCCGCCCCCCACTCTGCAGGTACTGGTTCAGGGGAGGTCCACCGCCCGGGTGGGGCGGGGCTATCGTCACGTGGCCACGCCCACCGCCTGGAACAGCTGGTGCAGGTAGGGCTGACGCAGCGGCAGCGTCAGCTTCCTCTCCAGCGGAATGGCCGAACACTGAAAACGGAAACACGCAGTCAAGCGGTCATCGGAAGAGAAAGTGGCACATCGTTTGTAACTGGACGTGAGCTCGGAAAATTATAGGATGATTATTATATCGGAATGTCCGGACTACAGGTCATCGGCGAAATAATAAAACAAGTAGGTGAATTAAACTTTCGCTACCTTTTGGGATAAATAATCAAATTACAGTACACCAAATCTGGGTGGAATGTCGTAGACAGTAACCCACAATTGTATCAACGCATATAAAAGGGCATATGTCCGTTTCCACGCAAGAAAGCAGCCCGTTACCGTGTCAGTGACGTTGGCGCCGCCCGGGCGCCGTTCCTCGGCGTCCCACGGCTTCCGGAACCGCTCGTAGTGCAGCGGAAACAGGTGGCCCTCGGTGCTGAACAGGTACTTCATCGGGTTACGGTTGATGTAGTTGTCCTCGTCAAATAACTGCGGATACGAGAACCGCGGGAATAATAGTAACTATAAAAAATTTTTCAAGGTTCGCAAAAGACCCATATGAAAGCGCAGGATATCACAGAGATGTAGGAAGGCAGATTGTTTTCTGACACGCATTTATTGCGCCGTTTTAAGTTTGTCTCCAAACAATGCTGAGTCACCAGTCCATTCGTTAATTTTTCCACACAAGCATAACAAGAAAAACAAATATCATTTCGGTAGTTGTCGCTATTATACCACAAATATCGACATTGAACCTGCCGAAACAATTATACAAGCACACACACCAGGTAGAGGTATTTGCAGGTTTCGCTGAGAAAGAAGCTCTCCATTCGGTCCTCCTGCGATTTGTCGATGACGCTGTGCAGGGTGGCGTACCCACACCGCGCGCGGGAGTACTGGTTCAGGCTCTCCACCAGTTCGCGGCCCACGTGCAGGTAGAACGGGTTTTTGGTCGCCTGTGGTGGGCATAGGGTTGTCAAACTGTAAGCGGGGCATGCTTACCGCTATATTGCCAGGTTGTGGAAGCGACTGCTGAGGCTAGGCGTGAAGGCAAATCAGTGCTGCATGTATATAAATTAGTGTATCAAACATAAACGAATAACAAAAACGAAACTGTACCCGCTTTCAACAACCAAATAGCATAGTTGAATGTTTCGGTAAACAAAACTTTAACGAGATTGCAAAGAATCCAGATGGTTAAAAAAGAACAATTAAAATGACAGAGATGGCACTTAAGGAAGATATTACACTAATCAAAACTCGGTGACGATCTAGAAAAGCCGTGCCATCCTCCATCCCAGCTGTGCCAGCACTGGGGGGGCAGACGAGTGGGTGGCGTCGCTAAGTGCACGTGCCTGATAGAGAAAGTAGGTGCTCTCGGCCAGCTCAGGCCTCAGAGGGTAGAATAGCACGTCCGGCTGGCGGCGCTGCCAGTTGAACCGCTCCGGCAGCGCCTCGTAGCTGAAGAAACCAAACACATACATACATCAGCTCACTACGAAAATCAGCGAGTTGCAGCCGCACATAGAGCTCACCAACGCAGAACGCCGACAAGTGGTGAGACGAAAGCCGATCTTGGTGACAATTTAAAAGTCATACGACAAAAAGGCGTGAGGGGGATTGCGTGAAAATGATGTTAACAGTAATAAAAACAAAGTTCACATTGATGTTGACGGCAAAGTGCATTTGATGACAAAACAGTCGAAGAATTGTGCGCGATAAAGCACTGCTCTAACAAAAAGTGAAAACATCCAGCCCGATAAGCACATGACCCGCACAGTAAACCGACACCTCAGTGGGAACTTCGATTCGAATGCATCTCAAACTATAATTGGAATTCATAGCTGAATTTATCTATGTATCAATATTCTAACAGACATTTTTGGGCACGGAGAACCAGTGTCCCAAATTTGTTGGTTTGGGTGTGAAACGGCATCCCAATGAAAATCATTTTGCACTCTTACCACCAAATTTTCAGAGCAATTTTCTCCTCCCAATTTTACCGAGGCAAGCATTTGCGAGGATGGTCGTTTTACATCATACATTTTGCCAGACTTCTATAGAAGGTTATGCTATCTATCTGTTTTCACTCTTTTTGGGACTTATCTGACGTCGCACCGTTTCCAGATGGCGTAGAAGAGCGCGTGGTGGCAGATGGCCTCCTCGACGTCGCCGGCCAGCAGCTGGACGGCCGGGAAGGCGGCCTGCAGGCTGTCCACCCAGGCCGTCAGCGTGTTGCCGTTCGTCATGTCCACGTTCACATACATCGGGTGGTCGCCAGTGCCGCTGTTACAGCGCGCTCGCCTGCGAAATACATAAAAAATATATGCTCAACAAGATAAAAAAGGAAAGAAAAATGTTTCGCGAAATGAGCGCACATGCGTAATAGCTTACGTCTAAACACATGGAACCGGGTTCACTTCCTTAGAAGAAAACGTCGCCAAATAGCCACTTGCAGTAGGATAACTGACTCATGCTTTAAAACAACTTCCATACGTTTTTGAAATGCTTGAAGCAAAGAAATGCATGACGCTATTTTACCAACATTTAATCTGAATATGTATTTTTTTCGGCAAAATAAATCGTGTTTGGCCGTAAAGTCAATACTTCACGATTGTCAAACCTCAGAAACGACCAGAGAAAAAATTATCTGTCAATCTTAAAACGGCATCTTTCATTCTTCTCAATGCCTAACTTACCCTTTCCGCATAAATATTTTGATTTTATCGTATATCTCGGCGAATCGTTCGTAGTCCTCAGCGTTTCCGAACATGATGAAGGACTTGAGGAGGTACTCGTAGAAGGAATCCATGCCGGCGCCCAGTCCCGACAGGTTGCTGGTCCAGCGGCCGCTGTCCACGTTCACAGTGTTCCCTGCAGCGGGGAGGCGGCTCAGATAAATGAACGGCAGCGAAGCGAGACAGTAGTTCACGGAAAAAGTATGATGAGCGAGGGATTATAAACGAGTTTATCCTGTTGGTCCCTATCGCAGCATCAATGAGTAGCACGCCTAAATGCCTGACGTAATAAAAAATATGACACCCAGATCAATCTGGCCGTTGCGATGTGGGACACGCAAAATCTCAGTGACGCAAAACATGTTCGTGAAAATGTTAGATAACTACAAATGCAGGATAAACAACACACAGCAGTTCCAAAAGTTATGCATCGAATTATCGCTTGACCAGCCTGTCCCCTCCGTATGAAGTATGGACGACCTGTCACGTCACCGACCTTTCCCTTCCAAGCGACTCGCACCGATCCGTCAGGTGACCGACCTATCCCCTCAAAAGTGACACAATCCGCCCCATCACGTGACCGACCTGTGAGTCCAGTGACCTGTGACCGCAGGCTCCACAGTATATCGACGGCGCGTCGTGCGCGGTTCTCGTACACGGGATCGCCGAGTAGTCGGCTGAGCAGGCCGAACTCGAGCACCAGGGAGCCGGCACCGGAGGCACAGGTCTCTCGGATGCCGTCCTCAGGCACCCCCTGTCTGTGGAAACCGGAGGAGACAGCGGCGATGACGGACGGCGTGTGTCTTACGGCTTGTTGATGTCTCACAAAAGAAAACGGAAACATCAACACTAAGCCAAACTTGATACAGGACGAAACTGCAGCAGAACATTTGACGAAGATCAAATAAATCCTAGCCTGCGCCCTGATCACAGATGTATAGACTGTGCGAGAAAAATATGAAGATTCGACTACCTCTATCCTCCCGCACACGTGGCTAAGTACCTGAGGCTGACGCGTGGATGCGGCAGGCCGGTACCCGTCTCCTCGAAGGCCGGCAGCAGGCGGGAGGCCAGGTCGTGCGCCAGGCCGAGCAGTTCTCCGTCGTACCGGCCCGGGTCCAGTTCCCCGAATGGCTTCTCAGGGTCGACGATCAGCAGGTGGGCCGATAGCAGGGCACCCAGCACTCTGTGAGAGATAAATATGGACAATATGGGAGGTAAGTGAGATGGCGGTCGCCGGGCGACGAAATGATGACATAGATGTTACCGAAAGCAAATACACTGCTACGTCACTCCTAGAGAAAATCATGTACAACATTTCATTCGAACGTGCATCATACGAAAAGTGAATGCTAATCGCTCCACAAAAAAACGACTCCACCAAATATAAAGAGTCAAAGACCAAGCCAAAACGATACCAATCGAGCCAGTCGCCACCTCAAGCCGATAGGCATAGGCCGAACATCAGACACACGGAACCGCACCAAACACGGCCTCCCAAAACCTCCCGGGTACAATCAGAACCCGTAAAACGACCCCTCCCGGTCCCTCACCCACTCATCCCCACCTCTCACCACACCCGGCCCCGTATCGGCCGAGTTGGCACCACCCACCGTATGTTGGACTCGAAGACCTGCACGGTGGAGTTTTTGTGGAAGGAGAGGTTGTCGATGACGAGCTGCGCGGCGCGTCGAAACTCGGAGGCGTTTCCCACCACCGCCAGCATGTCCAGCGTGTCGACCAGCGTCAGAGAAAAGTCGCCCAGCACGTCGTTGATGTTCAGGTTTGACCTGGGCGGACGCACAGTGTCAGATTGTCGCACACTGTCCCGTTCGGTATTTCAATTGTCCGTAGAAAGATCTCAAAACAATTTTTTGCAAATGTTTTGGTAGCACACTAGCTGGAAGGATATTGTATTTTTATCAGCTCACATGGACTGAGAAAAAAGTTATTGACAAATTGGCAAGCCACACAGATTTAATTCCCCGTTTGATAGTGAATCGGACTTACGGATCGTCGACGTCTGGTCCTCTTCCATCACAGTCGATCGGATTCAATTCGTCTTGGGGGTAGGCATGCCTCATGTAGTTGTCATAACCAAAGTAAAACATCTTCCGAGTCTCCTCTTGCATTTTGCTTTTGACATCATCATGAAAGTGCATATAATTTGCAGATTTCTTGGAAGCAATTACTGCACTCTCAAAAAGTCGTTTTGAGTTCATGAGTGAATGGCCAAAATCCAAAATTGATTTGAACAGTGAAGAGCCATTACTGGGTAAAAATGCCACCCCTGGTGCAGGCAGGAGAATAACTGTAAAGGCCAGAAAAAGCACAGCTGTATTTGACCAGCTATTAGCACTTTCTAAGCATTGATTTCTCCAGAATCCAGACTTGCACACCTTAGTGCCTCTTTCACTTGTCATGTTTGAATTTTATTAGCATGGCTGGGTGATCCAGCCTCAAACTATGCAGGAATTCCTATGACACCATCATCCTGAAAACAGGAAACAAGAAGAAAAACAGGTTTAGCTATACATGTATATGACATATGTTTTTACTCATTGGGGGAGGGGTAGACTACACATCAACAGAGAAGTAAAGTAGCATCCACTGAATATCTATAAAGAGTAAAATATATAAAACATATAAAACATAGCAAAACAAATATAAAGAATAAAACCCTCTCCCACTTAAAGGTATACAATAGGTAAGTAACACCTATCACATCTCATACAGGTCAATTTAATGACATTACACCATCTCTTCAGGAAATTACCTCTGACACAATTAACCCGCGCCGGGCCGGTGCTCTGAGATTCCGCGCCGGGCCGCGGGGGTGTCTGAACACCCCCCCCCCCTTCTAACTCGGCTCCTGGGCCACGTAGCGACACGCGTTAAGCGGCAATCGAAAGAACGTCAAAAATAAGGACGAAAACACTTCGGTCATTTTTTGGGTCAGGTCAAAGGTCAGGTCACCAGAGGTCACCAAAGGTAAAATGTTGACTATTTCAACATTTTGGAAACTGCCAACGGCTATCTCGGGAACGGATAGAGCTACAGCGCCGCAAAAAAGCGCATTCGATAGCCCTTTTACAGACCTTTCTGAGTAATGTTCTCAAATTTGACCTCAGGTCAACGGTTTAGCCTCCAGAGGGCAAAAACTCCAAAAATAGCCGTTTTTACGAAAAACGTTTTTTCGGCAATAACTTTTGACTCAAAAGAGCTATGACATTACTTTTGCCAGCATCGTGTTCCTCTCGTCGAGACGCGTCGAATGAACTATAATTTGACCTTGAAAGGTCAACTTGAAAATTTGACCTCAGGTCAAGGTCATGACCTGACCGGAAAAGGTCATGTTGCATATCAGTCGATCCGCAACGTCGAGCCGAACACATCTAAGGCGTTTTCAGCGCTCTAGCACGCCTCTATCAGAAGTTATCATAGAAAAACTGTTAGATTCTGTTAGTGACCTGAGATGACCTCGGGGACATAACGAGGGGTCACAGTTGCCATTTTCTGGTTCAGTGTGTCTATTTTACCTACATCTCGATGTTTGAGAGTGTCTAGAATAGCGTTCGTGCAAAACAGACGCTTTTCAATTTTCTCCCATTGACTTATAATGGAGAGGCCGCAAAATTGACCTGACCTTAGGTCACCGATATCAAAATTCCGAGATATACATTTTATAGATAGTGTTGCTCTAATCAATCGCTGAAAGTTTCAAGGCAATCGTTCAGTCGGTGTAGCTATGACGAGCATTCTTATTGTTTCTGAGGTGAGGTCACTTGGCGTGACCTGGTGACCTGACCTAAGGTGACCTGGGTCTGAAATTTTCACAACATGTGCGGAAAAGATGCACGAATAGGTGTGCCAAAAACGGCGGCGCCGTTTTTGAGATATCTGCGAAAAACCGCAAGGGGGGGTGTTCAAACACCCCCCCGGCCCGGCGCGGGTTAAGGTATTTGCTTTACTGGCAGTCTAACAGTACAAAATTCACCAACTGTCAAGTGTCAACTCCATTCATAACCAGGGTGAAAGTTAGGTCAGCATAAGCAGCATATCTAAAGTCAGCTGTGCTATTGTTTTTTCTTCAGTAGCATAACATTATTGTGGTTCCTTTAAAGGCACTTGACTTGTGTGTGTAACACCAATTACATTTAGGTTGAATTTTAAATAAGCAGACTGAGAGAGCCAGAGCCACCACTAAGCAGTATTTGTTGTACAGGCTGTGGCTCCAATCCCTAAATTCAGAGTAAGCAATGTAGTTATTTTGAAAACTTTGATCATTGATGTGCCATCATGCCTCATGGCACTTGGCACTTGGCAGCAGCTGCTTTCACCAACCAGACCACTGCCCACCCCATAGTTCAGTTGGCAGAGCGTCATGGAGGACTTCCGATAGTGACGAGCCTGGGTTTGAGTCACTCCAGTGCAAGTCGCAACCCAATCAAATCGACTCATCAAACATTTGACTCCTGACAGGGCTGGTCTGCAGTTGGTGGGAGCAGCAGTGCAGATTTCCCAGCTCTATTTGAAGAATCAGTGAGGATTTTGGACTTAAGCAGGTGCACCTCCGCCTCGTCAACCTGCAAGCCATAGGTACCTTTGAAGCATGAACTGTGTAACCAGGGGAATCAGTACATATTTCCCAGTTTTTTCCCTCTCCAGTCTCCTTATGCACTGCCGAGTGGCGAGTCAAGGAAACCAAACAGGTGAGTGGGTCAAACAGGTGCATTTAACTCATTTAGCTCACATCAATAAAACCATACGGGAAGAGAAATGTCTGGGACAAGGAATTGGATGAGACGCCAAGGCCACGACGAGTTAAGACACTTTGACCTTGTGGAATAAAATCCAGGAGATATACATAGAGCAAGCCGACTGCAACCACAATTCACATTGACATACCAAAACGCTTGAAAGGTGCACCACCTACTCCACAATAAATAGGAGGTGGCCTTGGGAAAGCCACAAAAAATGATCTACTTTTTGTTCCTAGATTTGTGACCAGTTCAGTTATGAATGCGAGTTATTTGTGAGTTATTGTGAATGTGTAAGACATTAGACAACGTCGAGGATGCAAAGGGTGTTCTAAGGGTGTGCTCGTTGCGGACTATTGAAGTTTACGCAAGTTGTAATTGCCTCCGGTTCTGCTGTACTGACTATAATGATGAATTTCCGCGGTATTTAGATTAAAATCAGTGTTAAGAAATGCATAGAGTGCCCAAAATATTATTCTTAGAATACATTTTAAACAAAAATGCACGTTCTACATACGTGGATAGCTTCAACAAGTCTGAATCGAACATTCGTATTTGATACTTTAGCGCAATAACTGTCGACAAAACAATGCTACAAACAGCTGATTGGTACACGTCCGTCATACGTCCGTGCAAAGCGTATTTCACTGCACATTATTTTTCAAACGTATTCCTGAATAATTAGAAAGAGCAAAGCCAATTCGAAAATGTTTTTGGATTAGCTCTCTAGAGTCATCACAATTAACAGAAACAAATGACCCATGAGCAGCAAAAATTTACCGTACAATGTAAATATTACCAACCAGTCTCGTTTCTTATAGGCATCTTGCTCGTAACCATGGCAACGAAGAATTTATCAAACGCAGGTGGCCGACTTTATATGCATTTAGGGCCTTGGCCGCCGAGATCGCCGAGATACAGTGCCCGATTCAAATGGTAAGGCAAGTCACCCCTAAACTGGTATTTGCCCTCGATACAGTCCTTGTCAAAATACAGATAAATCAGTTTTCGAACTCGCGCGTTACACTTCGCCATGTTCTGAGCAGGCGCCAAGCATTTGTAGATTGCTAATTTTTCCGAAGCCAGCCCTCGAAGCACTCATCACGACGTGAAGGTAAGCGCAGTTGTCTATAACGCTTGTTTGCTTTTAAAGTTTATTGATCATGTCTCCCATTGTCCCCAATCCTTTAGTGCGAGGATTGAGGAATAACATGATAATTCACTTGTCCGCACTCAAAATACCAAAAAAACCTGACAGTTTTGCAATTTCGTTTGTTTCAGAACTTGGAAACACAAATGGCTCATTATCGAGAAGAGAATATATGCAACCTCATTCCGAAGAAAGCACCGCCACCACCAAAACTACTGAAATATGTTTCAAAATTTCATAATCAGACCAAACAAGAAATTGCAAGCAGCCAGAGGCAGCATGCTCATTTCGGCTATCAACATTACCCCGCAGATAACCCGTGCGAATTCCTTCGAAAACAGTCGAAAAAGCCCATGACGACACCAGCAGGACACCCAAAGCCAATCGTGAAGGCAGAACGGTTGGTAGACGACAAAATGCCCGTTTCACTAAAGGAACGAAAGAAAGAAGGGAAGAACTTCTTGGCAAATAACAAGAAGGAAGTCAAAGAAAAGCAAAACGTTTACGTGCCAGAACGTAAGTATGTTGATACCAAGGGAGGCGATAAGCACACACTTGAGCCATCCGGTTTAAAGCTAAGATACGTATTCAAGAAAGACTTTGGCAAGACACCAAAATATTTAGCCAAGCGAGACGTAGAGATGCGAGAAGCACAGGAACAACGAGAACGCGAAGCGAGAGAAGCAATAGAATCTCAAAAGGCGAAGCAAATATCCGAAGAAGAGCGCCAAGAGATGCTGAAAGGCCTGAAAGAAAATTGGGCAGCTCTGAACAAAGCGTACTCTGCCCAGTCGCTCTGCATCGACAATCTACCGAAGCAGTTCCGTAAAGAGAGCCTGGAGCGTCAGATGGCGGCGCTGGAGAAAGACATCGATCTCGTCGAGAGGAACACCGTCATACTGATCGCCAGTCCCAGAGGCCACACAACCAACTAGATCGACAGCGTCCACAATCCACACTCGTCTCACGTGTTCCCCACCATTTTAAGTCCCCTGTCTTGTCAATGAACGGCAAAGTAAGCGACAGAGAGGATGTTCGCTAAGTGTCAATACTTTTAGTCCTTGACAGTCCACTGTGTACCTGCAGTGTATCACAAAACAGCCAATATGCTGCTCACAGCCCAGATGAGACGTCGAAAAATGTTCATTTACAGTTCGTGCATTAGGCTCACCAACTAGCTCAACGACTTCAACTAACTCTCTGACGCATGTCCTTTGCTGGCACACCCACAGTCGCTGAATAAAATGTCCCGTGTCCTTTCGGTGTTTTATTACAAAACATGGTCACTGTACAAAACACTTTAAACGATGGCCTCCCAACGTCTTGGGCGAAGCGCTGATGGGATTTATCAGCATTCTAACGACTGAAAATACGTTTAGTCCACGCTGCTAAGCAGCACAAGCTACAGGTCATCAGCAAAAGATATCTATGGAAGGTACATGAAGGCACGTTCTTTCCTCCTTTGTAAACTGGTCACATTTTTTTCTCTCCAAATGTATTGACCATTGGTCAGCACACTATGGCATCAGCCATTGGCCCCCGTATCTCTCTCAAACACAACAGCCCTCTCCCACCTTCGGACGCGTCTAGATGGACTGGGCGATCATCTTCCGCTTGTCGTCGTAGCGGTAACTGTTGGCGCTGAACAGGTGGCTGGTGAAGAACGGCTGCAGGTTGTGGATGTTGATCTGTCGCGCGCGGTCGGCCAGGTCCTTCTCGGAGACCTCGACCGTCTCCTGTTCGGTACCGTACCGGTTCCGCTGGTACACCGCCTGGTCGTGAATCAGCTGGCGCAGGATGAACAGCAGTAGCTCGTTGTTGTCCCGCTTGAACGCCAGGTAGCGCGAGAAGTTCTGCGAATGGGAAAATGTTGTTGCAGTCACACTTGGGCTAAGGAAATAACTAAGCTGTATTAGAACCAAACACTTCGAATATTGCCGCTAGGAAACAGTGCGATATAAAAACATATTCTCTCTACTCTACACTCACAGGACTTCTGTGGTCAGAGGTCCAGTATGGTCTATGAGACGCATCACAGAAACATTGGGTCAACAGCTTGGTAGATATTTGCGAATCCGGCCTCTACAGATTCAGCCCCTATACGTCGTTGACTGTTGCACCGGCAAGAAAAATATCAAATGCATCAACAGTAGTCAACGCGGTCCCATCGCCGGGGCCCTCACTCACCCTGCGCATGCTCCTCATGACGCTGTACTTCTGAGTGTCGATGAAGCTCTCCAGCATCACGCGGATGGCCATGTTGACGTCATCCTCCTGAACGTAGTCCCTCAGGTACATTTTGGCGTGCGCCTCGGCCATTCGGATCACAGACTCGATATGACGTACTGTGATCGGGATGCTGCCCGTCGCCTGTCAGGGAAAAGTGCACAATAAGCTGCGGGGATAGCTCACAGAAACTACCATTACACACTGGATACTACGGAGTCGTGAGAGAAGTGTCTGTATTTCCAAATTGAGATAAGCTTGAAAAAAAACTGAGCTCAATGACACACAAAATCTTACAAATACGGTAAAAGTTCATGCGACATGTTCCCCGTTCCTCTCAGCAAGTTAACAATCGTTGGTAATGTCGCGGAAAAGTCACTCACCATGGACTCCTTGCGCAGATCGCTGTACATCTTGGCCACCTTGTCCTGGTCCATCTGGTTCAGCTTCGGGTTGACGCGGTTCCTGGCGTAGGCGATGTACTTTTTCAGCAGGTCCTGGGGAATCTTCTCCAGACCGGCCAGGTTGGTGCCAGACTGGGGCATATCCTGTAACAAACAACAAACGTGAGCTCAAGAAAGCAATGACATCCCACGACCCACTCAGTCTGGATACTCGCCAGAAAACAACAGATCGCTCGCACAGAACGGGACCGTCATCGTTCGATAAACTATATCGATGTAAGATGTAAAATGGTCGATGTTAGATAAAAATCAAGATCTGAGGCCACTGTTTTACCAACAGAAAAATAACCGCCTACCGGGATTTTTGCCTAAAGACCGCTTCACATACGGAGCGTAAACGGTAAAGCCCTATCCGCTAACGAACCTATCGCGTTTGCGCTCCGTATGTGAAGCGGTCTTAAAGCAAAAAAAAAAAAAAAAAAAATCCGGCAGGCGGCCATTTTTCTGTTGGTAAAACTGACCTCTGATTTAGGAATTTTACCAGGAAAAAAATCATTCTAACATAAACCAATTCTCGCTCCTCCAACTTACATCCTGCTGCTGCTGCTCCTCGTCCTCCGTGTTGAGCGGATGGTTTTTCACGTGCGACCCAACCACGAAGCGGGCCAGCCGCTCGTCCTGTACCGCGTCCACGGTGTCTCGCACTACACATAGCACGTCGAAACGCGACAGGATCGGCTCAGTCAGGTCCACCTGGGGGAGAAATGGAACGGTCATATTAGCACGCGGTGACGGAGGGGGGATATCACAGACCAGAGGCGACCCCTTGAGTCACAAACAGGACTGAAGGTCGGAGTCGGGGTCAATTTTGGAAGCCGGGGCCAGTCACCGAAAATTCATCGAATCCGCAGCTCAGTACTGTCACAGAGTTACTGCTTTACTGCATAATCCGTCGCCTATGACAAGCCTCAGTCTTGCTAAAGACACATTGTTGTGAAATGCGACTTGCTATTCGACGATTCGATCGTCAGTCTGACTGAT